GAGGACCCCAGATTTCTCTCCACATACGGGGGCTGGGGTTAGCGGCTTGACTGAAACAAAACGGCTTCACATGTGGTCTCAAGCCACCCCCTGCCGCGGCAGCGTCCACTCCGCAGGAAGGCAGGGAAGACCCCCATCCCCCGAGGGAGCCGCGCCTGGCAGCGCCCCCAAAGGGGAACGCGGCGGATGACTTGAGCCAAAATGGCTTGAGCCAAAATGGCATTGGCTCTCTCTCTCTCTCTCTCTTTTGCTTTGCTTCGCCTTGCTTCACGGGCATGACAGGCGAACCTGTCGACCTTCAGGCCGCCCGCAACGTTCCGGTTAAGGTCGGTTCCGATGTGAGACTGGGCCCAGTTTAGGTTTCGCAAACAGAAAAGTAGATGAAGACGACGACAATCAAGCCACAAACAATAATGAATACATGGGTTCCACAGTGGCCTCGTTCTGGACCTTCACAGTTGGTTCACTGTGTTATTGCATGCCACTGTTGGCATTATAGGTTTACTGTACACCGCTTGGTTCTGTGTAAATAATCAGAGCAACACCAGGGAGATGCATCGAAAAGTTATCTATAAAGAACAGCCAGCAATATCTCCCAGCGGTTCACATTTACAACTCGGCTCCTATACTGTTTTGTTGATACCCTACTGTTGCTTCCTGTACATTGCGCATCAGGTGATCTTGTCGCTGGAGCTCAGTTCACATTCGATCGGCATCATGCCTAAGTTGATCCGCCAGGTCATTCAATCTCTCGTCTCCCGCTCCACGCGTTCCACTTGCCTCACGATGATCAGCATGACCCGTTGGTTCACTCCGTTTCCAAGGAGACGTCCTGTTCACCCTGTTCTTGCAAAGCTGGAGGCCCAAAGGCTGTTCAGAGAGTTCAGCGGCCAGCTCCATGGTGGGGATTGGCCCAAACAAAAACTGGTTTGGAGGAGGCCTGAGGTATTAGTAACGGATTGCATCAATCCCCAACCTGGAAGGGCTTGTCAGAGTCCCTCAGTGCGTCTTTTGGTCAAGTTTGCCGAGTTTGTGCTTCTTGCCCATGTCGCCGTCGAGGTGTACTTGTGGTGGTGGCTTGCCTTCTTCTTGGACGGTGTTGCTCTGGCCTTGTAGAGGCGGTGCTGTCTGCTGGTCGGACTGCGTAGTGTCCAGCTGCGTCATCTGCACCACCATCGAGGGTTCTTCGAGCGGGGCCCGGCAGAGGTCTGTGGTGGCATGTTGTTGGTATCTTGTGGGCGATCTGCTTCTGCTAGGTGTTGTTGTGGTTGGCTGAGCTGCAGTCAGGTGGGGTGTGTTAATGGGTTGTTGGTGGCCTAGCACTCTCTCTTCTTCTTCTCACTGCTATACCCCCCCGGTGATGAGAGGGCTGGAGCAAAGCTCCAAGCAGGCGCACACTTCAGGTTTGAAAAGCTGCTCCAAGCCCCGGCTACTGAATGCACACAGCACCACGAAGACAAAGAGATTAGGGTATGCAGTCCCACTCAAGTACCTACTTCACAAAAATATTCCCTTGCAGGCCGTGCGCTGGCCCCGCCGCTTCTGGATACAGCTGTGAAGATTTGCGGCAGCCTTTGCCCCAAGCCCCCGCTCTACTGGCGGAGATTCCTCGGGGTGCCACTTGTGACAGAAGTAACAGCTGGTTCCCATCACCCCACCAGGCTACTAAGTAATCGTCAACAACTGACCCCGGGTAATTGCAACAGTTGGAGACTCCCAGACAAGCACTCTCTCTCTCTCGCTGTCTCTCGCTCTCCTTCTTCTATGCACTAAACGCAGTCCGGGGACAGCAGGTGGGCTACACGTGGCTACACGCACAGGGCAGGGTAGCTGCACACCAAAAAATGGTTCGGAAAAAGTTTCACGCCTCTCTTCTTCGTCTTCTACGGGCTGTGCTGGCCCCTACGGACCAGCCGGTGCACTGCGCCGCCAGGCAGTCAGGTCGGGCACCACCAGCTACAGGAGCTCACATTCAGGCAGTTAGTCTAAACCTGCAATAAAAACAGCTGAAGACTCTTCCTACCTGCCCGACTGATTGCCCGTTCCCACGGATGGCTGTGAAACTTGCCACTCACGGAAGGAACTCCTTAGCTCGCAAAAGCAGCATTCCCTAAAGATTCTCCAAGGAACTACGCACTAGAATGCCCTCTGTTCGATCCCCCGAGCCTGTACCAGGGTTCACCTCATAGCATGATGAGTGCAGTCTGCCCCCCGTTGGTACTAATCGAACATGCTCAGCTTCCCCGGTAACAGAGTACACGCAACAGAGAACAACACTAGAAACCAGTTTATCGGGGTAGCCCACAACATTGGATCGGTACATCTCTCTCTCTCCCTCTCTGTCTCTCTCTCCGTCCTCGTTCTTCTTCGTCTATGGGCTTAGCAGGACCCGAAAGCCATGCAGAAGCCATCGCGCCAGAGTGCGTGTACTCAAGGCCCGGCCTCCACTGCCTCTTTCAAAGCAGACCTTTCCCAGTCTACGAAGACTGTCTGACCACTGCAGGAGCCGTAATTGCGCATCCTGAGGTACGGGCTTGTTGCCAAAAGCGGCCGCCCAGCTTACCTGTAAACATTCAACTCAGATTGCAGCCAGCTGCCAATCAAGTGCCTTCGGCAGATGGTCCAGGGCACCAATGTAGCCCACGCCAACCGAGAACTCACCGACCTGTACAGGTTGGCAGGCTGGATGGGCTGAACAGGTGCTTTGCGGTGTGAAGGTAACACTAGGTTGCAGGACTGAGGCCAAAGCATTGCAAGTCCCATGGCGCCACTGCGATGGCCTGCAGTTTGGCAGGTTTGATGATGACCTGCTGGCCTTTCTGCCAAAATTGCCATTTGTTGACACATCCACTCAGCGCGCGACAAGTACACAACCTCTCCGGCTTCCAGAAGGCAGGTCTTCAGGCGCCTGCCCTTGCAGCCGAACAAGCAGACAGGCAGATGGAGGGTCGGGGAGGAAAGAGAGATGGCAAGCAATGAGGCAGATGGCAGGGCAACATGGAAGCTGTGTTTTGGAGCAACTTCAAAAGATCAGAGGTATAGAAGCCCATAGCTAGGCAGAAAGCCAGAATACCGCGTGATGAGAAGGCAGCTGCAATCGGTAGAGATGATCGGCAGGTGCAGGCTGCTTGCAAGGAAGGCTTCTGACCATTTGCCTATGGCGGATCCCTGACAGCTTCATTTTGCAGCATGTGAGGAGTAATGCTTGTCTCTCTCTTCTCCTGTGAATCAGAGAGTACTCGAAAGGCAGACAGTCCAAGCCTTGGAAAAATGTTCTCTTTCATGCCACAAGTCGCAAGGCCTGAGCAATCCAGTTGGTTGCCCTCATGAATTTGTGTCTGCCATACTGCGGTGGGATTGTGAGCCAGGCTTGACCGTCTTCATGATTTGGGCTGCCTCCTGCCATGCAAGCGAGGACATACATGTGCCAACATCATGCCGAATAGAGACAAATTTCGAGCGAGCTATCTCAGACTGCTTTTTGCATCTCCCGCAACCCGACAGAGTCGTATCAGTCAGCAATTCCAGCGCACGTCACTCACAGAAATAGGTGTGAGGCCACCTCGGCTGGTCCTTGGCTGTAGGTCCATCTGAGGCGCCTAGCTAAAGCACATAGCTCGAGCATGTAGCAAGCGTCCTCCATTCCAGGATGCTCCACATCCGTAACAACATGTAGGTCCTGATCAAGAAATTAGCCGCAAACAAAAAAAAGCTCTTAAACGTCCTGTTGACATCCCGTGCTACACACTCCCTAGTTGAAACAATGCTGTCCATCCTGGCGAGCGCTAGCATCGGGAACGGAAGCTGCTCCCGTCTTCTGCTCAGCGCCTATACAGGCCCAGAACTAAGAACTTGCAAGCAGGTGACTTAGACTGCTGAGCAGCCAACCAAACAGCTTTACCGTCAGCTTCTTTCGATTGCTGGTCTTGGTAGATTGCGTTGTGTTCTTCCACACCTGTGAAGAGAGCTTTCAAGGCGTCTTTGCACGGAGTTCCTGCAATGCACAGCCTTAACCCGCCTCCAGCAATGATGCTGGGCTTTCAAAATCTGCGCTGTCCAAAAACTTGAGTTCTTTGTCCATCTTGTCGAAGCAATAGGTCTCATCCCAGATTTGACCCCAGAATCGGCCAGCAAACTCTGCGAGATTTGCTGGTGGCCTTTGAAGCTCCCTCCGGAGGCTAGCTTTTCTCACGTTGAATTCCTCTTTGCTGAGGGATGCGAAGGTATCTGTAAGATTCCAGACGGCAGACTCGATGAGCTCTTCAACATTGTCCGGAGGCTGGCGGAAGCCTTGAACGAGAACGCGTATCTCTAAAATGTCCAGATGGGTAGTGGTAAAGCCAAACACGACATAGCCCAGCTGATGTTCAGTTCGCAGGACTTGAAACACTGGCCACTCGATAATGCTCGAGATTAAGCTGAAGCGAACACGATCAGCCAAGGATGGCACGCCAAACTGGTATGCCACAATTGTCGCTGAGTTTGGGTCGCCCGGGATTGGATTGCCAACGCGAATCTCCACATCTTTCTGGGGGTTCAGCACACGTGGATAATCTTCGCCAATGGCCGGGACGCTAGTTGCTGATCTCCAGTGCAAAAGGCTTGCAAAATACAACCATATCCTTTCCAAAATCCCATGGGCTTCATGCTTCCTAGTAAGGATCTCCTGCACCTCATCTGCCACATGAAGTGCCTCAGCACGACCCAGGTTTCCAGAAACTAGTATTGTAAGCTTCGGATTAGCGAACATATCTCTCAACATTGCCTCGTACTCTGAAACGCTCACGATCCACGAGTCGCTGGCTGCTTTGAGCAAATCCTTTCTAGAATGTGCGTCGCTTACAGTTACGATGTCGAAGGCTTCCATGGCATGTTGATAGGGCTGTTGCCCTGTGACATCCGACAAATCTAACACCATCTGACGACGCGCCATCTCAAATTCCTTCTGCGAAACTTCCGGGTTCCTTACTTTCGGAATAACGAGCCGTATGAGCTGCAGAAGATGCTCATTGAACCCAAAGAAAGAGATACTGAGACCATCATGCCCGGTTGTGACGCCATAGCTGAGGCCACACATCTGAAACGCATCGGAGGGCTCTTCGAGCACCAGCTGGACAAGACGAGAATGCATAGCGGCTAGGACAGCCCTAGCTGCACTCTTTGTCGCTGATCGTGGATACGCCAGCTTGATCTGAACCTGTGCTTTCGGTAGAGCAAAAGCCCCACGGCCCAACCACCACAGGTCCATGCCCTCCTTCAGCAGCTTTTCAGGGAGGCTGCGTGGCACTGAGCCACTGATCAACTTCAAGTTGGTCGGCACATATGATAATGCGGGAGGCTGTTGAAGTCCAAAGCCAGCTGCCACCTCCAGCCTTTGTAACAATGCCTCGTCCAAAGCCTCCTCCAGATAGTTGAAATCATAGTACTGCTCGTGCCGTTGGTGTGCGGCAACATCTCTTGAAGGGACCTGAGGAGTAACCAACGCAACATTCACATTCCTCGGGGCAATGCTTTTCAGCAACTGGCTTGTGAGGTTTAAGTCAATTTTGTCGATCAACGAGCCAGCAGTGAGTACATCCTGCGGCTCCACATTTGGCAGGGATCCTGCCAAAGATGTCACGTAACCAGACTCGGACCCAGAACGGTCCTGATAATCAAACATAACCTGATTCAGCAACTGGATCTTATCAAGAATATCCTTGTCGACGCCATGCTTGCGAACCGTGTTGAAATAAGCAAAGAAATATTCCAGGATCAGGTCTGATTCCTTGACCCCTCGTTCTGTCAGCGAAAAACTGACCATCAAAGTGGTGCCTGCAGCAGATGTCTCAACCATAGTGGAATAGCTCAGTGAGAGCTCTTCACGCTTCAGCAAAGCTTTGAGACCACCTGCAAACAGAATTGAACGCGCAAGCACAAAACGTATCAGGGAGGCACACGCTATTAGTTTGGACAAGAATACAGTCCAACTTGCCTTGGCCGTAATGATTCATCGCATAGTGAATGTAAGCTTCGGGTTGCTCCTTGTACTTGCCTCTGAGAGACACTATCGGGAAAAGCAGCCAGAGCTGCGGGGCCCCATCCGTGTGTACCGTGAATTTCCTGCCAAGATTGCCCAACTCCTGGCTGTACCTTGGACTCACATACGCCTGCTTGAAATCAAGTGAGGCATGCCCAAAAAGCACGGCAACCCTTCATGGCAGAGGCGCATAGTAATGTTGTCATATGTAGGCCGCGGCTGACAAGTTTTGGGCCTCTTGTTGAGGATATCAAAACTCTTGTGGACGGCGTCCAGCTGCTGCGCCACGGTAGAATTTTGCATGATCCTTACCATGCTTGCTGAGCGAATTCAATGTCAGAAGTGAGAATTTCTCTTGTCTTCATTGGCACAACTCCACAGAACAGATAAGGCTCACAAGGTGCATTCGAGATGTGCAGTAATGCTCCTGTCAGGATGGCCTACCCTACAGCTCCAGTCCTCAGCTACCAGTACAGAAGTCCATTGGGCCTTGTGAAATTGCTTCAGTGCTTCTGGAAGGCTTCTCCCCTCCTGTAAATCATGATGGGGCACATGCGCGACTTGCGTTGACGCAACTCTCTCTCTCTCTCTCGGGCTCGGGTCGCACATGCCGCGCAGCAATCCTGCTCCGGATCGGTTTTCAGCGTCTTCAGGTTACCAGTGGAGAACTGGCTTACCTGATGTCTGACGTCTTGCATGCAAACAGAGAGGATGGACACTTATAGCAAGCTTTGCGAGTGGCCGGGCTCAACGGATTTGCGCGTGACTTCAATAAATGAAATAACCTCCACGTCGTATCAGGCATGTTCCTGAACCAATGCAAAGCGTTTGGCATCCACAATGTGCTCCCACCTGACTTGCTGTAGCTGCAACCTGGGCACTTTTTGTGCTCAGAATCCACAGCATTGATCTCTTTGTCTACCATGTCATCGGCAAAGGTTGGCTCAACGAAAAACCTGCAAGTATGAATAAATCATTTGTTCAGAATTGGCCGAATCAAAAGAATCACGGCCGAGGATTGGCACTTGGCGCGTCACTGTGCAAATATGTCAAAAGTCTCCTGGAAGCCTGCGTCACTCACCTGCGAGGCGACAATTGTGTTCGCTGTGGCAACACAGGAGCAGGCACCTCCGCATAGTAAACTGTCTGATCACTAGCCGTGTAAGCATTGCTCTGGCCACCGAAGAATGCCAACCTTGGCTACCAAATGTGATGACCTCGAGAAAAGTCTACTGAATGCTGGATCAGGGACCGGTTCGAGAATGTGTCCTCCTCTGGGTACTTCTTGGAACCCAGAAACACCTCATCTTGAGAATCCATATGTTTTTGACCAAGGCCGGGCCATCCATCATTGTTTTCTCACACGACACGTCGCAATGAGTCATGTTGGCAAGCTAGGTCAGCACTAAGAGGGCAGATGCACCTTTGCATGAAGGTTTTGTAGGTAGTATTTGTGCTGGTGTTAAAACAAAACCGTGTCCACATGATAGCGAGTGTAATATGGACCGCTGAAGGCTGGAGCATGACAGCCCCCGCTCTGCTTGCCCTTGTGATATCCGTGTGTCAGAACCAAAGCGAGAAGACCAGTGGCAAATGCCAAGTTGGCTCAGGTTTTTTGGAAAGCCCCGCATGCTCATTGTATGGCTTGAGATTGCTAGACTGCTCAAAAATTCCCAGCCTCTCACTGCTCCACGAAGGACACGGTTCGTTTAGTGCAGTTCTGCCGTACAAGACGTGCATATTCATCAAGCCAACGGTTGACATCTTGCGCTGCTGCTATGCAATTTTGTGCCTCGACCCTCCAAAATGAACCCACCAGCCAAAGCAAACAAGTATACGCCTCAATGCATATGACTTCCTCTCGCTGATAGCGTGCCCCAAGCTCACCCTCCGCAGATCTTTGCACCACCAAGCAGCTCTGCCAACTCCCAGTTGAAACGAAATAACAGCATGGTGACAGCGCTTTATGTATTTGATGCTGTCTGCTACTTAACTCAGAGCCTCAAAGGGGTATGCTGCGACAGCTGATGAAAGGCCGTTCACCATGGAGTGTCATGATGGAACATGGAGCCGACAACGTATCCCGAAAATCGACATGTGAGGCTGGCGGATACATGACATGTGGAATGTACTCTAAGCACCTGCAAATCAAGCATTCCAGCTCAAATGTTGCCAGTATTAGCCAAGCTCTGAAAAGCTTATCAAGTTGCAACAACTCGCCACTCTTGAGCGCGCTTCTCTTACAAATTCATAATCGGCATCGCAAAACGTTCTTACATTCACACACCGCGATGTTGCGGTGACAACACATACAGGTCAATAAATCCAAAATGTACCGCCACGCATCATCTCTCATGTGCCAGGCTAGCGCCAAGCTACTGCAAATGATGCTTTATGATACCCTACCATTGCCTTACATGTCAGGCGCTCCAGCGCATTGTTTGTTTGAACGTGCCCTTGGGTGTCGGTGTGGGTGTGGGTGTGGGTGTGGGTCTGGGTCTGGGTCTGGGTCTGGGTCTGGGTCTGGGTCTGGGTGTGGGTGTGGGTGTGGGTGTGGGTGTGGGTGTGGATGCGCGTGCGTGAATTGAATCTGGTCTGTTTTACAAAGGGCTCAAGCCGGCTGCGCGCGGATCAGGTGAACATCTAAGTGCACTCAAGACACTGCACACAAATTGACTCCGCTTCCTGCTTTGGAAGTCAGAGCCCACGGTGGTGCGGATTGCAGAATATGGAGCAAAGCGCTTACCACCCTGTGCATAAACGCATGGGGGAGTATATGATAAGCATGACCACCCCTGCGTATGTACCCATCATGCTGCACTTCAGAAGGAGACGTTGCAGCATTCACAGGTGGAGCCGCCGCCGCTGCGTTGTTGGAGTTGGAGCTCGAAGCAGCAGCACTCGTAGTAGCAGGAGCAGTCGCAGGTGCCGTAGGCGAAGTAGATGACGTAGCCGTGGAAGTAGCCGTAACCGTAGTCAAGGAACGCCTGCAGCAACACCTGTCCAAGGAGACAGCGATTGCCGAAGAGGAGATGCTGATGAGGATGGCGGCCAAAAGAAGTACCAGGTCAGGGAGTTGACCTCTTGGCAGGTGACGATGCCTTGATGAAGAAGGCAACGTGGTTTGCTGGCATACCGATGCTGGCGACTTCGCACAGGCTGTTCGGAATGGTCTTGCTGGCTACTTTGGTTACTCCTGTAGCTGCTCAGCCAGATCCAGAATGGTTTTGGCATCCTCGTCCAGCTCGTTGGAGGGTGGAAGCCGCTTCATCTCAAGAGGATGGCCGGTATTCCAGAAGTCAATGCATCCGGTCGTCAGCCACTTCATCATGCACGGAGAGGACATGATCTTTGTGAGCGCATCTGCGGTCATTCATTGAGTAGGTGTAAGTATGAGCCAGCAAAGTCTGCCCGAGGCTCGTGCCTCTCGATGTGCAATGAGATAGAGTCGTTGACTCTTATCCTGCGGTATGGCCCTGACCCCCGTCGACAATTCATAAAAGTCTTTACAGCCGGTGTGACTGTCTGCCGGGAACCAGACACAACCGTTTTCCTGAACAGCCAACAGCTGGGCCACCGTCGGACGAACTGGAGCGTGCGTTATCTCTGCAAGTCGCGCAGAAACCAACGTGGCACACACAAGGCCGTTTATCGCGGCAAGTGTTTCGCCGTGACTGGTCGAGTAATTAAGACACCCTCTTTGCCTTGCTCGCTTGAACATGCAGGAGTTGAGCCTTGCCAGATAGAGTGGATCTAGCAAACTCATCATCGGCGATCATGTGATTGCGGTTGGTGTTGATGAAGTCGTTCATCAGCACAACGATCACGCCCTCCTGAGCATAGTTCTTGGTCGAGGTAGCTACCGAGGGTCGTGAATGATCGCGATGCAGTAGTGAGTCCCCAGAAGAGGATGGTAGTAGATGGCGGCCTCCTTGTCCTTCTTCGCACGCTCGATGTGGACATTGACATCCTTCAAGTGCTTGACCTTCCCTTGTTCATGATGCTCTGCAACGATGACAACTCGGCCAACGGATCTGGACGTGTAAGGCTCGTCCACATCAAACCGCCAACAGCTGAACGAAGCAAGGTGGTCTCCGCAGGAGTCAGGGACCGATCGTCCTTGTCATCCTTGTTGATGGACATTGGTTCGAGCATGGATACGTATTCGATCTGATTGACCTTGAAGCCATCAGCAGTTGCTAACTACCTGCAACCACAGTGGTTGAAGGGAAGAGACTCACGAGTCAGCTTCCCGAACTTCTTGTCCAAACGTTCGAAGGTCTCGTCGAGCCATCCTTTGAAGCCTTCAACAGCGAGGTCGTCGAAGTGAGTCGTTAAAGAGGATCTTGGCCATGCACCTTGGGCTTGAGCTGCCCAGTACCAATAGTTCTCATCGAAGTGAGATTGCTGGGCTCCCAGTTCACGAAGGAATTTACGCAGGAACAATTGCCAGGCCAAAGTGGCCAAAGGTGCCTCTGACAACCCATAAACGGGTTTCAAACACAGGAGAAAGTACAAGTGGAGCTCTTCCTCTGGAATGTTAAAGCGCCTGCCCAGCTTCTTCAAGTGTCGCCACACATTCCTTGGAGGATCGATGGCCATGAGCCTTTCGACCGTATGGAGGCCGAGCTCACAAAGTGAACGCCATAACTCCTTGTACGCCAACCCCTTTAAAATGCTCCTGCCACATCCCAGCTTTGGAGGATCTTGCCTCGAACGTTAGCAGCAGAGGGCAGGATGAGCCTCTGTGACAGCCTCGTTGCGGTAGTCGGCCTGCTGCTCATCAGATGCTTCCAGGGATCGTGGCATCCTCGTGCGCAGAGCCTGCTCTTCACGATCTTGCCTGTGGAGGTGCGCTTCCACTTCCTGACCCAGATGGCATTAATGATTGCACAGTCCTTGCCAAGCTCATCTCGTCGAACAGGCTTGAAGGCGTCTTGGTCAACGAACTGACCTATCTCCTTTGAGTCGCCTTCTTCGCATTGAGGCCATATCCCATAGACATCGTCCTCACCGATCAGGTCGGTTTCGGAATCCACACGGAAGATGTTGCCCATCTGGAGGTCGGCGAGCCAGCCAGGAGTAGACATGTAGAAAAGAGCTGCACTGGTCGTGGACGTTGTAGCACTCGCGTGGAGGATCTCGCTAGGCCCCTCGTGAGATTCATCATCAAGACGAACCACACGTCGCGCACGAGCCATGTTGAGGAACGTGTCTGCCATGAACTCCGAAGGTGGCGTAGTCCATGACGTTCGCTGCTTCTTTGATTCAGGGCCTATGGTCACTGCGCGTGACTCTGGGCCATCACGCTTGGATGAGCTAGGATCAACCTCCACGGGGCTCGTTGTTGGAGGCCTGAGACGCCTCCTGAGTTGGTGGAGGCGGACTGGATGGAACCAATGGTGATTCTTCCATCGACGCACCACGTGGCATCCAGTCAGAAATTGGTGGCTCCACGAAGTCTGCGGCATAGCTGTAGAAGTAGATGAAGCACATGTCTTCACGTCCAGACATCCGTATGTGGTTGTTGACATAGTCGTGCCACGAGGGTTGTCAACGATGGACACGCGAACAGTGTGCTTCTGCCACGCCACTAGCGCGCCTGTAGTCACTGTAGTCCCAGGAGGACTCTTCCAGAGACTTTGGTGACCACCTTGTAACGAGTGGCCACGTCGCTGAAGATGATGAACCATTGATCCCACAACTGGAAGTAGTCAGCTGTGGACTTCTTCTCCAAATGTCATGGGGTGCTTTGTCTTCACGACTGGCCTTGACTTCAGCTTGCGGTACTTCCTGCAAATGGAGCAACCAGCCACAACTTCCGGAACCAGCTTCACCACGTCTGAGGTCATTCCAGACTTGGTGAGCAGCGATTGCAAATCGCCGGCATTGGCGCGCCAGAACCTCTCATGTAGTCCAAGTAGAAGACGCTTGGCTGGCTCCACGTCATTCCTGGCCAGTCGAGGGAGTCGAACAAGCACTCGCCTGAAATCAAATTTGGCACGTCGTGTTGGATCAATTGGTGCACCTGAGTCTTCAAATTCCACTGCGTCGTCGTCCTCGGCTTCGGCAAGTTGGTCCTCGTTGCCCAGCTGCTGCTCTCGCACCTCGGCGCCCTTCAGGACAGGATATCTTGTTGAGCCTCGTCGTCTTCTGCAGGAGCTTGGATGTGGAAACCTTTGGCCCGGGCGTGTCACACGGAGTGGCGATGGTAGTCCTTGATGAGGTCAGCTCGCCTCTCTTGGTGTAAACAAGGCAACATGTGGTTGTACATAATGTCGGAGACCACGTCCGCGGCTGCG